CCTGTTTGCAGCCCAGCACCCGCTAGCAGCTCCACTCTGCAGCCCACTGGCAGCTGCCACACCTGCGTTTCCTCATTGTCACGGTCTGTAGAGTGAGATTTTCTCCTGGTCATTGCGGGTTACCAGGGTCCTTTTCTGGGCAATAATAAAAGACACGCTAAAGTTGCCTGATTCATTGTCTGTAACGATGTTAAAAAACACTCTAATATGTATCAGAGTTGATTTGTTAGACCATTACTGGTGTGGGAAGTCTTGCAATTTTAAATTGAATTATATATCATGTTCATACTTAAGAATGTAAAAATTAGAAAAATAGACACATATTAAATGCATGTAATTCAAATCCATCTTTGTTCTCTTTTAAATATTCTGCTGTATTTTCATTGTAAATTGAAAGCATTTAAGAAGAGCTAGATGGCTGAAGTGTCAACACCACATCCTGTCCAAACACCTCACTGCAGCAAACAGACGACCTAACTCACAGAGAACAAGATCACGGTGGTGGAAGGAATGAATGTCTACGTCCTTATAAGGAAAAGGCTTTTGTGTTGTGTGCAAAATGTCCACCTTACTTATCCGCTGTTTCCTTCGTCGTTCTCTCTTGATATGGATCTTATCAGTGGGTAAGTCTACCACCTTTCCCATTTCACCTTTTTTCACTCTTCACCAGCATAGAAATTCTTATGGTTTTAGACAGAAATAAATTTCACCAAAATGTATGACCAAGCTGAGGTGATATTTATGTTGTTCATAATGGTGTTTGGGGCTCTTGTTGAAAATCCTGAAGCAATATTTTGGGTCCATGCTTATGTTTATACTATTACAGGTACAGTGTGAATGACTCAGATCTTTTCTTGCATAACTTTCTATTCACCTCAGGCTGTTTTGTTTCTTGTGTGAAAATTGAACCCAGTGTTTATGAGTTAGCAAAAAGCTCACGTAAGGTTTTTTTAATCTATTTTGTAAGAAACTAGGGTTGTCTGGTTTAATTTCTATTGTTTAATCATATTTATGTATATGTTTAATATCTGCTTCTGCTTTTTAAATAATGTCACAATTAACTTTTTTTTTCTGAAGTGCTTCTGAAGTTGCCCACTGGACAGTGTTGGCGAGTCGTAAATGGTGCTGTTGGGGAATCAGCTGTTCTGTCAGGGACAAATGACTCGAGTCGGGTAACAAATCTTCTGTGGAGGAAGGGTGGACTTATCATAGAAAAGGATGGTGGACATATAACTATTTATAACCAAACCCATGAAGGGAGACTCACCCTGAGTGAGGGAGACGGATCTCTGACCATCAACCCTCTGATAAAAAGCGACAGTGGAGAATATACCTTTGAATCCCTCCCACCGCCATGGCCAACAGAGACACATGTGATACAACTTAATGTTTATGGTAAGAAAACGTCACAGAACCCCCACATCTACCTGTCCTGTGAGCTTCTATGAGCAAGGATAGGTTTGCTAGCTGAATATACTGTGTATTTATATATCTATGAACAGTGAAAATAGGGCTGGTATATTAGCTACTCAGACATGATGCTTGGAGAATCTGTTCAAGTCTCTGTTGGTGGTGTGAACAGACAGAATCGTGTCCGTGGAGATGGACTCGCAGGTGAGCTACAGCCCAGACAACAGCACCTGTACCGTGACTCTGAGCTGCACGGT